ACCCGTAGCAGGGCTCAAAAGCAATCCAATGCAAGGTCTCCATAAAAGCTTGCTATATACCAAGTTTGTTGACAATTTCTAGATGTAGTTATACACCAGAAGCAATTTTTCACTAACAGGGACCTTGACCCTAGTTGTTAAAAAAGGTTAACACATAAGCTTGCCATGTACAAAGTTTAATTTACAATATCTGGTCCCTATCCTAGTGGCCCAAAAACAAGTTATCCACATTAGTTTGCTGTATACCAAATGATGACAATCTCAACTCAGTGTAGACAACCAGCCTGGGTAATTCATCTCACCTTGTGTAAACTTGATGTATTGCCATTATGATTCATCATAAAAGAACACTAGTAAGGTTTTAAATATTTATTAACAAGAATGCAAGCTGAACACTTAAATGTTTCTTAACAAAATGGTATTGTATTCCATACAAATAAAATACAAAATCACTATAATATGATGGTACAGCTATATGGCAACAACCAAAATAAACAAGAGGGCCATGATGGCCCTGAAGTCGCTCACCTGTATAAAGGCCCCCCGGAGCGGGCCAGTTTAAACCAAAGGGCTTTTATTTGAACAAACTTGGTAGGCACCAATTAGAAGATGTTTCATGCTAAATATCTAAGCTCTAGGTCTTTGAGTTTTTTAAAAGAAGATGTTAAGTTTTTACTACTCAGATATAATGAAAAACAATGACCCCCACCCCTGCGAGTCTTATTTTTACCCCAGGGCTTTTATTTGAACAAACTTGGTAGACAGCCATTAGAAGATGTTTCATACTTAATATCTAAGCTCTAGGTCTTTGAGTTTTTTAAAAGAAGATGTTAAGTTTTTACTACACAGATATAATGAAAAACAATGACCCCCACCCCTGCGGGTCTTATTTTAACCATTGGGCTTTTATTTGAACAAACTTGGTAGACAGCCATTAGAAAATGTTTCGTGCTCTAAGCTCTAGTTGGTTGGGTTTTTGAAAAGAAGATTTTTTTTAAGATTTTACTACACACTTATAGTTAAAAACAATGACACCCCTGGGACAGGGCCAGTTTTGACCGCAGGGCTTTTATTTGAACACACTTTGTAGACACTCACTAGAAGAAGTTTCATGCTTAATATCTAAACTCTAGCTATTTGGGTGTTTTCAAAGAAGATTTTTTAAGATTTTGCTATACGCATGTAAGAAAAATCAATGACCCCTCCGGAGGCGGGCCAATTTTGACCCCAGGGCATTTATTATACCCCGCAAAACGAAGTTGTAAGGGGGTTATACTGGAATCAGCTAGGCCATCCGGACGTCACCCGTCCGTTGGTCTGTTTTTCCTTGTCCACTCAATAACTTGAGATTCCTTTGGCCCACAGTCTTCATATTTGGCATGGAGGTTAGTCATGATTAGTAGATGACCCCTTTTGATTTTGGGGTCACTGGGTCAAAGAGGCCTTGACTTTAAAAAGCTTGTCCGCCCAATTACTTGAGATTCCTTTGGCCCACAGTCTTCATATTTGGCATGGACGTTAGTCATGATTAGTAGATGACCCCTATTGATTTTGAGTTCACTGGATCAAAGGTCAAGGTCACAGGGGCCTTGACTAAAAAAACCTTGTCTGCCCAATAACTTGAGATTCCTTTGACACACAGTCTTCATATTGGCATGGAGGTTAGTCACGATGAGTAGATGACCCCTTTTGATTTTGGTGTCACTGGGTCAAAGGTCAAGGTCACAGGGGCCTTGACTTTAAAAGCTTGTCTGCCCAATAACTTGAGATTCCTTTGGCCAACAGTCTTCATATTTGGCATGGAGGTTAGACATGATTAGTAGATGACCCTTATTGATTTTGGGGTAACTGGGTTAAAGGTCAAGGTCACAGGGGCTTTGACTTTAAAAAGCTTGTCTGCCAATAACTTGAGATTCCTTTGGCCCATAGTCTTCATATTTGACATGGAGGTTAGTCATGGTTAGTAGATGACCCTTATTGATTTTGGGTAACTGGGTCAAAGGTCAAGGTCACAGGGGCCTTGACTTTAAAAAGCTTGTCCGCCCATTAACTTGAGATTCCTTTGGCCCACAGTCTTCATATTTGGCATGGAGGTTAGTCATGATTAGTAGATGACTCCTATTGATTTGGAGGTCACTGGGTCAAGGTCACAGGGACCTTGACTTAAAAAACCTTGTCCATCCAATAACTGTGATTCCTTTGACCCACAGTCTTCATATTTGGTATGGAGGTTAGTCATGATTAGTAGATGACTCCTATTGATTTGGAGGTCACTGGGTCAAAGTTCAAGGTCACAGGGGCTTTGATTAAAAAAAGCTTGTCCGCCCAATAACTTGAGATTCCTTTGACCCACCGTCTTCATATTTAGCATGGAGGTTAGTCATGTTTATTAAATAACCCCTATTGATTTTGAGGTCACTGGGTCAAAGGTCAAGGTCACAGGGGCCTTGACTAAAAAAACTTGAGTTTAAAATTTTCACATTTGAAGCATGGAGAATACATATCTTAGCAACGCACTGGCTTTGTAACCTCAGATTTGGCAGGGTGGTTGTCCTTGAGCTCTAAATGGCCGCTGTTGATTCTGACAAAGTGGTTTGCAGGGGTATTCACGCCATGACAGTGGCAGTTCTAGTTTTAACAAACTTTGTAGACACTCACTAGAACATATTTCATGCTAAATATCTTAGCTCTAGCTCTTTTGGTTCTTTAAAAGAAGATTTTTTTTTGTTTTTACTATATGCATATAAGGAAAATCAATGACCCCCTGAGGCGGGGCCAATTTTGACCCCAGGGCTTTTATTTGAACAAACTTGGTAGACACCCATTAGAAGATGTTTCATGCTAAATATCATAGCTCTAGCTCTTTGGGTTATTTAAAAAAAGATTTGTTAAGGTTTGACTATTATGCATATAGGGAAAATCAATGATCCCCTGGGGCGGGGCCAATTTTGACCCCAGGGTTTTAATTTGAATAATCTTGCTAGAGGTTCACTACACAATGTTTAATGTAAAATGTCTAACCTCTAGCCTATGACCCCCAGGACGGGGCTAATTTTGACACTAGAGGCAAAATTTGAACAACTTTGGTAGAGTACCTATAGATGATATCATATACCAAATATCAAAGCTCTAAGCCTTGTACCTTCAGACAAGATTTTTTACTATATGTACATAGTGAAAATCAATGACCCCCGGGGATGGGGCCAATTTTGACACCAGTGCTTTAATTTGTACAATCTTGCTACAGGTTCACTACACAATGTTTCATGCAAAGTATCTAACCTCTAGCCTTTGTCAATAAAGAGATGATGATTTTTTAAGTTTTTACTATATACATATAAGGAAAACCTATGGCCCCCGGGTAGGGCTAATTTTGACAATAGAGGCAAAGTTTGAACAACTTTGGTAGACTACCTATAGATGATATCATATAACAAATATTAAAGCTCTAAGCCTTGTACCTTCAGACAATAATATTATGTACATATTGAAAATCAATGACCCCCAGGACGGGGCCAATTTTGACTCCAGGGCTAAAATTTGTACAATCTTGCTAAAGGTTCACTACACAATGTTTCATGCAAAATATCTAACCTCTAGCCTTTGTGAATTTAGAGAAGATGATTTTTGAAGTTTTTACTATATACATATAAGGAAAACCTATGACCCACGGGGTAGGGCTGATTTTGACACTAGAGGCAAAATTTGAACAACTTTGGTAGAGTACCTATAGATAATAACACCAAATATCAAACCTCTAAGCCTAGTACCTTCAGACAAGAAGGTATTTCAAGTTTTTTTTACTATATGTACATATAGTGAAAATCATATATAAATAGAAACACGCAATTCTATAAATAGAAACACGCAATTCTATAAATAGAAACACGCAATTCTAAAAATAGAAACACACAATTCTATAAATAGTAACACGCAATTCTAAAAATAGAAACACGCAATTCTAAAAATAGAAACACGTAATTTCTGTAAATAGTAACAAGCAATTCTATAAATAGAAACACGCAATTCTATAAATAGAAACACGCAATTCTAAAAATATAAACGTTGTTGTTGTTGTTGATGATGATGATGATGATGATAGATATGTATAAATATAAATATACACACACACACACCAATAAATATATAATTATGGTCATTTAATGCACAAATCTGAGAAAATTCAGTAATTTAAACTTCATGGTCAAGGTCATTAAAGACCCCAAGCAAATTTGGGTTTGATAAACAACAATTTTCAGTTATAATATGAAGTTGATCCCTTCAATAATAGCAAAGTTACAGTCAGTTACAGCCAAAACAATGAAAATTTCAATAATTTGACCTTCAAAGACAATGTCATTAATGAGTGAAGGTCAAGGTCTTTCGGTATATTTTTAAGAGTTATCCTTGAAGATTATTATATTCAAGTTTCAAGACAATCCATTCAAAAATAACAAAGTTACAGCCAATAATAGCCAAAAAAATGAATATTTCAATAATTTGACCGTCAAGGTCATTTATGAGTGAAGGTCAAGGTCTATCTAGTTATTTTTAAGGGATATCCCTGAAGATAATTATGTTCAAGTTTGAAGACAATCCATTCAAAAATAACAAAGTTACAGCCAATAATAGCCAAAAAAATGAAAATTCCAATAATTTGACCTTCAAAGTCAAGGTCATTTATGAGTGAAGGTCAAGGTCTGGCTGGTTATTTTTAAGGGATATCCTTGAAGATTATTATGTTCAAGTTTGAAGACAATCCATTCAAAAATAACAAAGTTACAGCCAATAACAGCATGAACAAGCAAAAATTGGACTTTTAACCTTGAAGGTCAAGGTCATTTATGGATGAAGGTCAAGGTTAGTGTGGTCTACTGAAAGGTCTTGTCCCAAGGGTTGTTGTGGCCAAGTATGAAGACAATACACCAAGAAATAAAAAAGTTATGATCCAGGTACAAGTTTGCGGACGGCAACGGCAACGGCAACTATAACAATACCTCTACTTTTTTTTTCAAAAAAAAAAAAGTCGAGCTAAAAATGTCGCACTCTCAAAGTAGGCATTACTGAGGGAGGTCAAAGCAGACATCTTCGAAGACCGAAGACAAGGAGGAGTTCTTCTAGATCCACCAGATTGGGGAAGCAGTGCATGGTCCATGGCAGAGCTGAAAACTGGAAGGAGTGAACTTGTCTGTCCGAAATGCATGTCTGAGGCACCAAACCAATAACACCTGTCCGAAGCATCATTGCTTGTCTGTGTGTCCGATGGCCTATGTCAGGAAACCTTACCTGTCCGCTTCTTGATCCTTTATTTTAGGCAGCAACACATTCATTAGCTAAGCAACATAATGCATACAATGGTCTCATTGGCCTCCCGTGTATTATTTCATTAATAAAATCTAAAACATTTGCATTTTATTTGGGCTCATTCAGTGAATTACTGAATTCCATTCAAATAGGTCACCACTTTAGATTATAACATACTTTAAGGGCATGACTGGTGACATGTCCGGGGTCCGTACTCTTAGTGCCTGGAAGGGCAGATGGACCCACATTGAGCACAAACTACATACATACATGACATTGCAACATACAGTTTCTGTTATCAGAACAGAAAAGAACAGACTTTATTATTCAATATTTAATGTAACTTTTTTTAAAAGTGAGGAAAGTAAAAAATGTAAAATTAATTTATTCATCATATTTTTTCTTACATATTACTATCAACAAATCTACATGAAAATATATATAAACAAATGTTTAGAGAAAGCTCATAAATAGCTGATAAATAGATATCAAAAATAATTTGTTTTCATTCATATTTGCAGCTCAAAAACATTTAGATGCCATTGCCAGATCTACTATTAATTAATAAACTGTAGAAGTATTATAAGTGTTGTTAATTGTGTTTATATTATAGTTAAAGGATGTATAGCCATGCATGTTAATGCATACACATTGGGTTGTTTCCCTTCTCCGTAATTTTTGTGAGGAAGTCACTTCTCCCTTAAATTTCCCCCCAGGAAGAGCCCTGTTTAGACAGACTTTTACTTGATACAATGGAGAAAAAAACTTGTCAAAAACTCCCAGCATTAAATTACTATATGTTTACATGTTTAGTTTCTATCGCAGGTTAGACCAAAATACTGTAGCCGTTCCGTGTATTCATACTATTGTATTCAAGGTCCGCAGACTTACGGAAAGGACCGAAAAGTTGCGATTGCTGATGTTCATGGAAGAATTACTGCAGGATATTTCAAAAGATGGAAACATTAACATGCTTAATTTTGTGCCAGAAAAGCATCGATATATGTATGTGAGAAAATAAAACACCTTAACAACTTCAATCACATACACCAAGAGCTTGCAAGGTTGTCCACTCTTTAACTTGACTCCTCTTACAAATTAATTGTTAAAAACCTTCCTCTTACAAATTAATTGTTAAAAACCGTTCATTTTTTTTCAATTTACCTACGGCAATTCATACCAAACAGAATACTCTCTCCAATAAGATATTGTACATCCTTTGCTGAATTGTTCTAGTTCTCTAGCTAGTCTAGCTTTGTATCACAGAATTGCTTCCGATAAGAAAATATTATGTATGTTCACTAAAATCGTTTTCCATCATTTAATTTATCACCCAGGCCAGCCCCTTTACATGATCTTGAAATTTGAAGAGGTCCAGTTCAGATGATCTGACATCTTAACCTGCAACTTTGTGTCAGAATTTTCAATAAGTAAATCAAATTTTTATATTAATTTTTATGTTTTTTTTTTAATAATTCATAACACATGTATGTCTAAGAAATTTTAAGTTGTGTCAACTGTGTGTAAACAATCTGTTACAGTAGCTAAATGTGTAACAATACAATATTTCATATCTAAATTTCTTGGAGACATTTAATGACTTTCAAATCCATTATAAAATGTAGAAGAACAGTTTTCTTCTTTCCCAGCATTCAAGTTGTAATCTCTTAATTCATCCTCGGAGAAATTCTTCATAAGTCAGTTCCAGACTGCCTTTTGCCTTCCCTTTCTGTCAATAAAGTTTCAAATGTCCAGTCACTTTGTCAATTAAATTGGCTGGACCTGGAAACAAATAAACACTTTTTTCTAATTGTAAGTTGAGAAAACATTTCCTGAAATACATTGTACCAGACATTGCCTTTCATGATAATTAACAGTACAAAAAATTCCTATAAGCAGGTGCTTGGTCACCGTGACCTTCATCTTTGATCTACTGACCTAATAAAATATATATACCAAGTATATGTTAGTGTTCATCCGTGCTGTTCTACAGAAATTAGAAACCTCGATGGGAGCGATAGCGACAGGAGAATGTTTCTAATTTCTGTAGAACAGCTACGGATGAATACTAACATATTTAGTGTCAAACTTTATTTGGCCTCATTAATATTCACTTTATTACATCACTACCAGTCTTAATCAATTACCTGAATGGTGGGTTTAAATTTGACCTTATAAATATGCATGATTTACGTCACTTTGCGCGCGAAGACGCCTGTGCGCCTTGTGTTTCAGTTAAAAAATATGAAGGGCGGCATACTAGTATGGCTTATGCGAGTTTCCATTTTCTCGATATTGAAACATTTATTTTTTGAAAACATTTTTGATGAGTTGGATAAGTGTTACATGATATGATTTATACAATTTGATGAGTTTGACAACTGGAACTCAGTAGCTAATATCTGATATGATTTAGACATGTATACACTAAATGTCATGTGGTAACACGAGGTCATGTAATACAAAATGTATATTTTCCAAAAACATAATGTCTACTTTCACTTTCTGTCTACCAAAAAAAAGTGAATAGACACACGTGACTTTCCTCTTAGTTAAAAATTAATTAAGACCTTTATCTACATGCGTAATAAAAAATTGACATTTTGTATTGGTTTTACTTTTACACATGCAGTATCCTTTTTGCCAAGACGTGGATTTACATCTGAACTGCATGTATCCTTTATCAATAAATGCAAAATTACTGTAGGTTGACCTTTTGACGTCATTTTTACTTAATTAATATTCAAAAGCAGCCCACGGAAGCGCATGTGCAAATTTATGCAAATGAGCGATTCTATGAAACACTATGAAAAATAGAAGGTGACTATGAACAGAATTTGATATAGTATCGACTTTTATCCTTCTATGAAAATTAACACTCATTATTTTGAAGAAATACAGCGTTTCCATTGGATGACAAATAAAGTTGGACACTAATTGGCAATTGTAAATATCGAAAGTATGGAGTTTGTTATTTATTTTATATAATTATTTTATCTATTTCAACACTGTACAAGGAACATTTATCATGTTTTAATACCAATTTGACATATTCATATTAACATAGACCATCAGCCATCTTTAGAGAAATTTACAAGCTCTATTTTTTCTTAATCTAAAGGTCAATGAAACTTTGATCTTAATAGTCTCCTCAAACATCCCATAATTCATTATTATGTAGGAACTTCTGATTCAGGGTAGTCATACTTGGTACAGGTTAGTAAAACTCCCTGCATTTATTAAACTGAAACTCTAAAGTAACCATGAACTTAATCTAGACTGATCCGATTGACCTTTCAAATAATATGGTATTCTGCTAACCACATACAAAAATGTATAATTACCAAAGAAAGTTTATAAACTGAAAACATGTGCCATTTGTAGTCAAGATTTCCCTAACATTGACCAATTTTCAAGTTAACAGTTATTTATTTTTTTACTTTTGAGGTTTAAGTAACTTTAAGTAACCTCAACTTGTAATTGAGTATTTTATTAAACACCAAATCATCTTATCATTGGAGTATAGCAACTTTATCAAACAACATGAAACAGTTAATCTAAAGAAATCAAACAAATAGATGATTCAACATGAATAATAATTAATATGACAAATACAAATGCACAAGGTTTATATATATATCAAACATGTAATTGATCATCATGATGATTATATTTAAAAGCAATAACTTGGAGTGTTCTAGATAACAAGAGCTATCACAGGAGACAGCGAAGCTCGACTAATAAAATACTGGACGCAGTAAGAAAGACAAAACTATGAAAGAAAAATCAATTATGTATAATTATGTATTAAGTTTTAGTAAAAAATAACATTGTTAACATAAATTCCAAGATTAAGGGGAATAATTCTGGAAATAGTCATGCTAGAGTTATGAACCTTGTCACACAACACGTGTGTAATGATAAGAAATATATATTTGAAGTTTGAAGTAGATATTTAATGAAATGAAATTTACTATCATTTAATCAAAAGATACATCCGCTGAATGAATTATTTCCACTGAAAAAAAAAGCCCTTAAATCTTGAATCAGTATTGGTAACACCTCTAACATTGGATGTTTGTATACCTTTTTTAGCAGCAGCTAAAACAACTTGAAAAATCTGCCTTATCATAAATAACTGTAATGTAGCAAACAATTTATTTATTTATTTATTTCTATTACAAAAAAGAAAACATAATGCCATTGCGATAAAACACTTATAGTATATGAAACTCGTTAGTTACAAGGATATAACACTGGCTGGGGCAACATCAAGGGATGTTTCTGCTAAAAGAAAAGGCAAGGCCGAGACAATTGTTTGTAGAAACATCCCGTTTGCAGTGTTATATCCTCGTAACTAACTCCTTTCATGTACTATAACTTTTACTTAACAGGAACATGTCATTGACAGAAACTTGCCAAAGATTGTATTGTTAATTATACAAATAATGAGCTTTCGTTGATCAACAGAAACTTGTTAGGTGATGCAGCTATTAAAAATTTGAAAACCTAGCTAAACACCTTTTTCCAGTACTTTTTGTACATTCCAGACGTTAGCTTTGAATAGCGAAAAGAATGCTTTTAGCCTTTTTGGATTAAAATGAAACATATTTTTTTCAAGTAGATACCTTAAAAAGTTAAGAAGTTACATTATTTCTTAAAGAAAATCCTAAGTTCAAAGAGAGATAAACCTGTAAATATTGTTTCAAAAGTTATGAACCTTGTCACATAAAATGTAATTGATGATAAAGAATAAGTATTTGAAGTTTGAGGTAGATACCTTTAAAAATAACAAAGTAAAAAATAACATTTTTAAGTAAAAAAAAAGTTTATGGGGATATCATTCTTACAATATTGGTGCTAGTGTTATGAACCTTGTCATATAACATGTGGTTAATGATAAGGTACATATATTTGAAGAATTAAGTTGATCCCTTAACAAATAAATAAGTAACAGTAAAAATTATATTTTTTAAGGAAAATTCTAAGTTCAAGGGGAGATAAATCTGAAAATATTGGTGCTAGAGTTATGAACCTTGTCACATAAGATGTGGATGATGATATGGTACATTTATTTGAAGTATGAAGTTGATCCCTTTGGAAATTAAGAGGTAACAGTAAAAAATAGAATTTTTTAAGGAAAATTCTAAGTTCAAGGGGAGATAAATCTGAAAATATTGGTTCTAGAGTTCTAAACCTTGTCATATAAGATGTGGTTCATGATAAGGAACATATATTTGAAGTTGATACCTTAAGAAATTACAAAGTTACAGTGAAAAATATTTTACTGCACCAAAACTTTAATCTGAAATCTGGACGCGGACGCCGGGGCGAGTAGGACAGCTCTCCCTATACTTTGTATAGTCGAGCTAAAAAGTGAGATGGACTGGAACAGAAACCATAATTAATAAGTCAGATAATTGGTATAATTATAACAAATCAATGAAAGAGTTTAAAACCAGATTCAAAGCAATACCTTCATACGTTCAGTGAAGAATTGAAATGATACAAAACATTTTAACCAAAATGTAACAACAATACTGTCATTTATCGGCTTTCAAAAAATTTACTACAAGACTTCAGGTGCTCATAAATGAAATATTTCAGACAAATGCAAGCACCTGAGTAGAACCATGATATTCTGTAAGAATATGTTATAGACAAAGCCCTTTGTCAGTGTTACATTAACAACTTAATGTACATCTGACCTCAATGTATTTTATCTACTCGATGTTTTGAATGTACTGATATTTTCAAATGTACAAAACATAGATGAAAGTGAAATCAAAGTCACACTGCAGTAAAAACGCTATATATTGCAATAGTGCCAAAAGTCTATATGACATGTTAGCGTCTAACAATTTTACAAGTAATATGTAACACCCATACCTGGCCCTACAGCTAAAACTGTTTTAGATCCACTAGCTATCTGAGTTCTTCCAGCATCTTTGATAATACTGCATATCAAACCATTAGCAGACGCTTCTTTAGCCAGCTGTAACCTATACAATTACACATAATATCAAACATTTTTTGTAGTGACTAAAAACTTTATGAAAATGAGCAGATTCCTATGAAATATTGTCAACAATATGAATTCTGCATCATCCAATTTTTCTTTCAGATATAATTTTGCATTTTTAAATGAGAGAAAATGTCAAGATGTTTCAGATTTGGTGCAAACCTTTTGTATGTGCAGAGGAATATAAAGATATAAAACAATAACAATACGGAAAAACAGGCATAAGCATTATCAGATGATGTTTTTACATATTGTTCAGCATTATTAAGGAGTTGACTTACAATAGTGCAGACAACTCATTAGTAAAACAAGTTTTTTTCTTTGTATTTCAGGCTAAATCCTAATGAATTACTTTGTGGATTATGATATTAATTTACCAATTTTTAAATTGTTTCATTCATATCTAGGACATAATACATGTATAACTGGGCAAGAAACTGGTGATTAGCTTTATCTTTTCCTCAAATCGAGTGCATGCACCAACAATTTGTCTATTTGATCATTGTGACAGGGTATCTTTTTTCTCCTTAAAAGCGTTTAGTTAAAATATTAGCTAAATATAAGCTAACTTGCGTAAGAATTAAGATTCTATCAGCCCTATAGTATTTAAATTGTGTTAACACTATGTTATAAAATTTTATGGATGTAACTTTATATAATAACAGCATTTAAACATTATGCTTATGGATAGATTAGATGTCAAACAGACACCAACATAAGGCCATCCTTAAAAAAATGTTTGTTTGCAGTAACCCGACCCAGAATTTCCAAGGTGGGTAGGTAGGTCGATTTTTTTTTTTTTTTATTCAACTGTACTCCCAAATAAACATGGAATTTCAAAATGCTGGACAATATATGCTTTGATAATCTGGTAACAATTAATAAATTGATAACTGAATTCTAATTTAATAAGACCTACATTTTATTTCTTCTATTATCCTTTAAAAGAACAAAAACAAAGCACAAGGCATAATTTCCTGATTCAAAAAAAAAATTTTTTTATCCAGACCATGAAAAAAAATTTTGAGTAGGGCCATCCTTAAAAAAATGTTCGTTTGCAGTAACGCGACCGACTCACAAAATTTGCCCCTACTCAAAAAATTTTTTCATGGTCTGGATAAATTTTTTTTTTTTGAATCAGAAAATTATGCCTTGTGCTTTGTTTTCGTTCTTTTAAAGGTTAATGGAAGAAATTAAATGTAGGTCTTATTAAATTAGTATTCAGTTATCAATTTATTAATTGTTACCAGATTATCAAGGCATATATTGTCCAGCATTTTGACATTCAATGTTTATTTGGGAGTACAGTTCAAAAAAAAAAAAAAAAAAAAATCGACCTACCTACCCACCTTGAAAATTCTGGGTCGGGTTACTGCAAACAAACATTTTTTTAAGGATGGCCTAGGGGCAAATTTTGTGAGTCGGTCGCGTTACTGCAAACAAACATTTTTTTAAGGATGGCCTAAGGCATCTTATCTATTCATTAGTTGTCCAAGTTCATATCTATTTTAATTATGAAATTGAATAAAAAATCTTACAGTGATTGTTCAGAATCTGTTTTCACAACAACCTTCGGCTGTCCACAAGCTTTCCACGCATATAAGGTTTCTGAGTCCTTCATCATGGCCTTTTCAGCAGCTCCTAATGCACCATGTGCACACTGTAAAATAAAACAAATTGTATCATAGTTTGGGGACCTTTCTGTTGAAAAAGTGTCAGAGTTAAATCGTATACATATACATGCACAGTGCGGTAACTGGAGTGCAGGTATCAGTTACCCGCACTCCAGATAATGCCAGTTGATTGGTTCATTTTTGCTGGGATTTACATATTGTGACGGCAGACAAAGGGAAAGGGGCAGAAATGTCATATTCAAATGCTCTTTCATTGGTTCATTTTTTTCTGGGGTTTCGTATTATGACAACAAGGAATGTGCTGTCATGTTTGACTATGATACAAAAGAGAAAGAACACAAAAACACTCGGCAATCTGATTTATACTCGGGGGGCTACGCCCCCTCGTACAAATCAGATAGCCTCGTGTTTCGGTGCTCTTTCTATTACTTGTACAAAAATATTCCCTTAGATTATCTGTTAATGCAGTGTTTTCAAGGATGTACACATGACTGATAGGAAACAGTTTTAAATCTATAAAGTTATATTTCAAACACAAGCACATGTTTGTCCATGCTCTATAGATATTTTAACAGGAACATGCCATTGACAGAAAACTTGCCAAAGATTGTTAATTATACATATAATGAGCTTTTGTTCATCAATAGAAACTTGTTAGGTGATGCAGCTTTTAAAATTTTTAAAACCTAGCTAAACACATTTTTTCCAGTACTTTGTGTACATTCCAGACTTAAGCTTTGAAAAGCGATAAGAATGTTTTTGACCTTTTTGGATTAAAATGAAACATATTTTTTGGAAAATAATAATGATTACATATCAAATAATAATTTAGAAAATATCTATGATTATGGCATGTTAAAACTGTTTTAAATTTAAATATTCTTATTTTATTTTTGTAAAATTTGAGATAGGAAGTAAAGAAACATTAATAATTTTCTAACAGATCAATTTTTTCCACCTAACATGGTAAAATAATAATAGAAATAGAAATATCATGTATAATGCTGTATACTTCTTTACATGCAATTCCTCAAAGATAAATCTTTATTACAGACATTAATATACATGTATTTATATTTGATTGACAGAAACTATATTTACTTGAGCTGCTGCTTTTCCTTTTCCCATTTTAAGATCATTCCTTACTACTATTACCATTTTGTATTCTCCATCGTCAGATAACTGTGGCGAACTGTCAGTCAAGTCTAACTGAAATCAAATACAAATACAAAGGTAATTCTGGGTAACAAGGAAATTCAAACTTATTTCAACTGATGCTAAATTGATATAATAAAACAATTTCTGCATTATCAGTATCACGTTTTTCTCTGAATCCAGAAGTTTATCATTAAAATTCAATGCCGTCATATAGGAAACGTTAAGTATGTTGATAAATACTATGAATGTGCTATGACGAAACGTTAAGTATCAGGGCTCACGCTGTCGGTCGCCATAGTCGCCATTTGCGATTATTTTACAAGATTGGCGATTATTTTTGCATTTTGGCTACAAAATCTGGCGATTATTTTTTACTTCCAACAGTGTTTATATAAGGTGTAAAAATCGATAATGAATGCAGTAGACCCAATTAACACCAGCGGGATGCATTTAATTGAGTGTCAACTTTTTACCGGTCACGTGCTGCTAACTATATTGCCCGAGGTGATAAAATACATGCGAGATGTATAATTGTATAAGTACTTTAAAGATATTGTCCAGCATTTATAATAGCCATCAAATATCCGTCAATTAGCCACAAAAATCGTTTTAAAATTGATAAACTGGATATTGACTTACCCAAAATTTACCGTGAATTCCAGTAATTGCAAATTTTTAATTTTTTTTTGTTTTAAGCTACTTGACTAAATCGCCAGTGGAAAACAATGGTAAAATATTTAAAAAGTATTAAATTCCAAACATTTATTTGCACAACAACCAAATTTGTGAATATTTCTTCAGAAAACAGGAAAAATCCGATTGTCACATATTTTCGCGACACCGATAATTTTGATATTTATTTAAAGGTGAAATAAGCTATGTTCTGTTTAAAAATCTTTACTACTATGGCAGAAAATTTGTATTACATTGTTGATGATGATATTTTTCAGTAAATTATTCAGAAAAAAGGCTGCATGAATGAGTTTGCAAACTTGTGTTGTTTCTATAGGCTAATATGACCTCGATCTACTCCAGTTCTGTGTGAAATGTGGAAATTGACAGTGGTTATAGCTGACAAAATTTGATTAGAACAAACAAAAAAAGTTGTCTGATAACAGCATTATGTAAAGTTATAATGTATCTTTAATATTATTGTTATACAGTAATTATACTAATTATAACGTTTTTATTCTGTTCTATAATAACAATTAAAGTTGTGGTTCTATTTAAAAAAAGGTAGTTATCAATATACACAAATGTATCAGTTTATTTGAGAATCCTTATAAAACTGAAAGATATAAATGTAATGTTTATTTAATCAACTGCTTATGTTGTTAATCGCTAATTCGTGAATAGTCCGCTGAACGTTTGGCTATTATTTTTTTAAGTTAAAATTATTGGCTATTATTTTATTTGAGCCAGTGTGAGCCCTGTATAATAACAATTAAAGTTGTGGTTCTATTTAAAAAAAGGTAGTTATCAATATACACAAATGTATCAGTTTATTTGAGAATCCTTATAAAACTGAAAGATATAAATGTAATGTTTATTTAATCAACTGCTTATGTTGTTAATCGCTAATTCATGAATAGTCCGCTGAACGTTTGGCTATTATTTTTTTAAGTTAAAATTATTGGCTATTATTTTATTTGAGCCAGTGTGAGCCCTGAGTATGTTGATAAATACTATGAATGTGCTATGACCAATTGTCATCTTTTTATATCATTTTCTGCACACATACTTGTCCTGTAAAAATGCTACACTTAACTGATATTCTAATGTTTTGTATATCATATCTACTTAAATGTCAAAGGTTTATAAAATGTGCCACATGTCGCTAGTCAAAGTCAGGACCCTCGGAATACACTACCGGGCCGCTTACACACTATGTCATAGATCAGAAATGTTCCCTATTTAGGATAGATGTGTAAGCGGCCAGAAAGCTCAGTTCGTACACCTGTGGAATGGTATTCTGAGGGAACTGGGTTCGAGTCCTGGTCAGATTGCACCCTGTTACATTTGGCGCCAAACGGGGGACTGTGTCTTGATATAGATCAGAGTTTAATTAGCATTGCTTTGAAACCCTGAGAAATACGGGAACAAATTTCAATATAGCTGGAGGTTATGTCAAGATTCAGAACTGTTCACTATTTTAGGGTAGAAGTGCAAGTGGCCGGATAGCTCAGTCGGTAAAGCAGCGGAACAGTATTCCCAGGGTCCCAGGTTTGATTCCCAGTCAGGGTGCATATTTTCTCACCCTGTGACATTTACACTATATACCCTAATTTAGTGAACAGTTCAATACTGTAACATTCTCCCCAAATTATTGAAATTCGTCCTCAAATTCCAAAAGAGTAAAGTGAACGTGAAATCGTAGTCACAGCTTTATAACATCATGTTCAACTGTTGGGTGACAAATGTCAAACGGTGAGAAAATTTGCAGCCTGACCATACTGATCTAACCAGGAACCTTCGGAATACCGTACCACAGGCCTACAGATTCACCTTTCCCACTGCTTACACATAATCTTCTCTATTTAGTGAACAGTTCAATACCATGACAGAAAGAATATCACAGATTCACTAGGCGCTGGCTAGGGACATGCAAATAAACGCAAATAAAAGACTGATCGAGATATACTTTGAGGACGAAAGTATTAAGC